GGTGTACGAGAAGCCAGGTCCTAGGTCAGTTTACAGCATGTAATTTGAGATTGCTATTGAGAGTAAAAATTAATTATTTTTGGAGGATCATAAAACATTTTCAACCTTCAGACTTGACAGACATAGGTTAATATGAAACAGTAAGCACGGTTGAACTGCTTGACTTTTGCGGATCATCAAACAGCGCAATCAAGCTAGTCGAGAGTGTGTATAAAGTAGTTTTTGTAACTGTTGCTTTCTGCTTTAAGTGCCTTACCATGGAAAGCTTGGGTATTAGGATGACCTCGAGATACTTCCTCCCTGCAGAATTTAGACAGGCATAACCAGTCGTTGCCGCCATCTCGCGACATCCGGATCGCTTCATCGTTAGAAAGAAAGGGTTTTCCCACGGCTTGCCAACGGAACTCCGCGAGGGCTTGTAAAAAGAAAGGTATCTTCATGTTTGTTGCACATTGCGCGCAGGGACCACAGAGGCCACCACTAACCTTTTATAGAAGGTAAATCCTTGCAACTTTCTTCCCTGTGACAACAAGCTTTATATTTCTCCTTTGCGAGTCTCTCCGAGAGAGCTTGGCGCTAAATCCGCCCCTTACTCCCAGAAAGTTTCCGCCTTAATTGACTCGATAGGTAGTATTTTTGTTGTGTTGGAGGCATTGAAGCTATTCTCGCTACATAAATCACGGCAAGCCTAGAGCATACTTAAAGAGATCGTCCAACTCCGTTTCCAGATGGAACACGTAGCTGGGCAAATATATTGGCAGATAGAATAGCCTTTTAATAAACATATTTTATAGCCTCATACCCATCGAACCCCCGAACCTGCGCATAACACGGACTGCCTGTTAGATTGCGATTTTTGCTTTCAAAGGAATGCCCCTGTCTCCAAAGGCTCCATACTAAGTTAAGTGCAACCCTTGTCACTTCTGCCTTCCTCATCACATGCTTTTTGAAAGATAGCCGTGGGGTTAGCGTCACACCCAATTATTGATATTCATTTACTGTATCAACATGATCTGACCTCCATTGTTTACCAGCCGCTCGTCCTCCCCTGTTCTGGAAAATTACTATTTTGTACTTTTCCATGTTTACATAGTCTCTTCGAGTACCTGGTTAGCTACTAGCTGGAGTAGCTGCAATTTAATATTAGTGTCTCCAATCTTGTTTCAACGTAGCAACTTTTCCTCTAGGTCATTGATGGATGTATAGGGAGAAGAGAAGCGGAAATCAGAATTCAAAATTAATGCGTACTGAACCAAATAGAAAAAGTATGACTACGTTAAAAATATAGTTTATTAGTCAGGTAATATCTGAAATTTTTGGTGCAAATTATATGCCGTATTTGAGGGTGTGCAAGATTTTTTTTTTTCATTTTTCCGGTGTTTTCAACAATTCAATATGCATATTTTTTGTAATAAGCTGTATTTATTTTATATTATCAATGTCAATTTCTTTTTGAAATTTTAACTAAGTTTTAATTTTTTACTCATTCTAGTGACACGAAAGGAGGTCGGTAAAATATATTCAAAAATCTAATAATTTTAAAATTAGTAAAAACAAGCAGTTTTTACAGGTAACAGGGAACTGATTTTTATAAGGTTATAATATAAAAAAGTCAAAATATGTTCATAATCATATCTTTATTTTGGACAAAATATACAGGCATTTTTAGTAAAACATGTAATATAAAATATAAAACGAGAAAACATTTAAAAAAAGAAAAACAAAATAAAGTTGATATGATTAAAATAACATTTTTTAAAAAAGAATTTAAAATACAAGAAAAATAAAATAGAAATTAAATTCATTCTTTAAAATCATTGGGAATGACATGATATTTTAAACTTTGAAAATAGAAACGGCGACGATCATATCTCAAAATGAATTTGTATCACGTAAATGAGCGTACAACTGCCGCTTTTATCGAAGAGAATTTAAAATTTCATTTTGGTTTAGATTGGTTTCTACTGATGAAGTTTCTCCTTAATTCCCTTTCGAGATTCAGAGATGCTCTTGAACCATTTGAATCCAGGATTTTTAAGCAGCACAATTCCACCCTCTTTCTTATTTTATTGCCGAATTCTCCTCCAGTTGCATCTAATTTATTAATAGTTGATTTAACTATACCAATACTCTTCATAACTGACATATTTTGGGTTTCAAGGGTAGTTTAATTCTGAGCAATTACCGTAGAAGTATGCTAAAATAAATGTCACATGATGGATGAGTGTCTTTTTTTGTTCATTAGATTTTTGGCCTTTTGGACTGATTTCAAAAAATCATCGCCAAGTTTTGACATAGCATCCTTTATTTTGTATTCCGCAGCCTATTCCCCACCCCAAGATACACAAATCTGGACAGGTTTCTTTAAGGATTTTTTTTCAAACTTGGCCCTTTTAACTGATTTTTACTTTCAACGGTGTTTGAAGTATTAAATATTAATTCGTGCATTAGATCGGTTGCTTGTAAGTTATAAATAAAAAAAGAATGATTTTTACTTCTCTCTTTTAATTCCATACGTTCAAATCGCGAATTAAAATTGTTAATTAATAATACCGTTTTATACATATAAAGTTTTATTTTTACGTTAATTTTCCTCTTGAGAAAAATTAACAAGGGAAGTTTTAATAATATAAACAATAATTTGTTTTTGCCTTTTTTGGAATATAAGCCGTTTGTGGAATATATATATGCCTTTCGGAATATATTTCCGAAAAAGCCAGAAGGGAAAACCCTGTACAGAAACTAATATGATTTTACTTCTCTCTTTTAATTCCATATTTTCATTCAAATTGCGAATTAAAATTGTTAATTAAATGGTAAAAATTTTAAAAAATTCAACGGTAAAAGGTATATATATATACGCACTCACTGACAGCAAAAAATTTCACGCAATTGATTTTTTTTCATTTTCTAGATAAAAGAAAATTGAAAATTCTGCCCTTAATTTGTCTCATTGCTTTTACTAATAAATATTTTTTATGCTATGTTTTAAATTGGGAACACAACACGCTTAATCCTTAATCCAAAACAAGGATAAAATATTTTTCAATGTTTACTTTTTATGGAATTTAAAATGTTTATTCAGTCTCGTTTGAATTCTGAAGCAATAAACAGTTTAGTTTTCATCTTTGGTTTTTTAATTTCAATTTTTAAACTTAAAAATGCCACTTAGTGCTGAGGATGTTGCGCGTGGTGTGGCACTTATTGATGATGGACGTTCCTTCAGGTGTGCGGCTATTGCCATCGGAGTTCGACGTTTTTGAAAAACTGGGGCCTACCATAGAAAGCCCGGTTCTTGACGCCCAAAGGTAACAGAACCACAGGATGACTTTTTTCACTTTGGGAATTTTGCGAAATCGCCACCTTACTTCAAGCGATTCATCAGCTCCAGGAAGTTCAAGGTGTCCAATTTTCTGAACGCACTGCTCGAAGATGATTAAATCAGTATGGACTGTTTGCATTATCAGTAAGAGGACCAGAATTGACCAGAACACAGAGTTGCACGGCTCGCATTTGCTCGGGAACCCAGCCGTCGGTCTTGGACTATTGGTCTGCTGTACTGTTTACAGACGAGCGTAGATTTGCTCTACGATCTCAAGATGAGCTTGAAAGAGTGTGGAGAAGGCGAAATGAAAGGAACGAAGCTTATAATCTTTCCCAGAGCCAACCTTTTCAACGTAGCTCAGTGATGGTGTTTGCAGTAATTTCAATGGAGAGTAGCACAGAGTTGGTTGTTGTTCGTGGATGAAATTTTGGAACATCATGTGTTGCCTATGTCGGTGAAATCAGCGACAATCCTATTTTGTTGCATGATAATAATGCCCGTCCACATGTCGCTCGCATAGTACCTTCAACAGCATAACATCAGGCTCTTAGCCTAGCCATCACGAACATTTATGGGATAACGTCAAAAGACGAATAAGAGCACGTCCATCGCTTCCTGATTCATTCCACGATCTTGAAATGTTTCTTCGTGAAGAATGGGCTAACCTCCAGCAAAGAAGAGGCTTCCAGGCTGGTAGAAAGTAAGCTGTGGCGACTTCGAGATGTAATTAAGGCAAGAGGAGGAAATATGCGATCTTGAAACGTTAATTAAAAATCTAAAAGAAAATTAAAACAAATTTTATGTCAGTCTTTTTTTTTGTTTTTCATTTTCCTTAGCAATTCCCTTTTTATTACTATTGTAGACAAAGATTGAATTATTAAACGATAAAAAACCTGAAACTTTGATTAATTTATAAATGTTCCAACAAATCCAGTTATATTACTAGGGGTGGAATTTTTTGCCTGTCAGCATATATATGTATACACTGGCAGGCAAAAATTCCACCCACTTGTAATATAGCTTGATTTGTATATATTTTTATATATTAATCAAAGTTTCACCTTTTCTAACTTATCTATAACTGAATCTTTTTCCAAAAAAGTTTAAAAAAATGTAAATTCCTAAAGAAAATGAAAAATAAAAAAATTAAATTAAAAACTTTAAAAAAAGACCGACAGATTTACATATTTAATAAAATAATAAAATAATAAAAAGAGAAGGTTTTCTCAATATTTTCGATCTTTTGCAACACTGTGTGGCGTAATGGTGGATTTGTTTAAGTTTGCGTTTTTGATGGTTCAGGTCGGTAGTGATGATCTGTTTTTCTGGACGTCGTTTTGTGCAGATCCTGCCCAGTGATGGACACCGAAGGGGTATCAGGGACGGGTTGAAAATCCCTTTCGGCCGAATAGAGTGGAGGGTGGTTTTCCTCGGTTTTCCTAGAATTTTCTCCAGCGTGTCGTCGCGTCTCCCTATCACCGGGGAAACGGCATGTGCGGTGCTCAGGGGGAAAAATAATAATCCTGTCCCGTGGGCCGGGCGGGGTGTCTGCCGACGAGGGTGGGGCCTAGCTCCCGCCGAGCGTCCGTGGGGGGGTGCATGAGCCGAGTGCACTTCCCTCTTCACTAACCCACTAAAAAATAGTGAGAGGGAGCGAGAAAGAGCGAGGCGGTGCGGGACGGGTCCGATGAGGGCCGTTCCCCGTTAGAGAGAGACAGACGGCAAGACGAGAAAAAAAACGACTGCGTACAAAAAAAAGCGAGGAGGGTACCAAGATGGCAGCACATGCACTGCATTGGAAGGTTGTTGACCAGTCTGTCGAAGGATGTGCTCCGGGTAGGAAAGTGGTGGTTCGTGCTGTCAGCTTGAAGGGTGCTCCAACAAATCGGTGAATAAATATAATATACTATCATACGTACATGTATATCCAACATACATATTTACCTGTACTATGCACAATAATTAATGTATATTCAATTTTTTCAATAAAAACTAAAATTTCGCAGAAAAAGATAATATATCATAAATTGACCATATATAGTTGTGATATCAATAATATAGGATATTTAATTTTTTTTTCAAAACAAAATATCCAAGAGATAAATTAATAATGTCAACTATTTAAACATCGTTTTTAAAAAACAATCCTTACATTAACAAAACAGAAATTTTTATTTATATATAAAAACAATCATACGAATGACAATAATAAACTAATATAAACGAATATAGCCAGCGTTAGTTTATGGTTTCTGCTTGAAAAATATGGAAACAGAAAAACCCTGGGCTTTGGTTTTCGCGTGCTTGAAAATTAGAAATAGTGTAGAAAGCGATTTTTTAAGTCTTCAACGGGCAGCTTCGCAGGCAGGCCTTTTCAGTTGGAAATCTTTGATATTGATCGAGTCTCGCCATGACCTGACCTTTGTTCTTGTGCCATTACTGCTCCCGACAAGAATCTCACTCACTCTGTCCTAACTCATTCCCTTATAGAATATATAATAATCAGTGTCTGGTGTCTTTATTGCATGTTCATTCATAACTCTCTGTTGTTTGTCCGTCCTGTTTACAAACATGTGATTTTTCCCCTTAACTGAGGTGAAAATTTCCAAAAAAAAAGTTTGATCCTACACAGCATACAAGGGTTGGGCGCTGTGTGTGATTTTTTTAAAGAAAAAAATTTAATTGTTTAACTATTGCAATCACATCCCCCTTGAATAACTTCATTTAATGGACGTGATTTTTTTTTTATTTTTTTTTTTAAACATTCATGAATTCATTTATAGAGGAGGAGATTGGACGGGGCGAGGCCGGTAAAGGGGGGTACCGACCGTTTTGGGAAAACTAGTTTGGCCCGTTTAGAGATTAGAATTTGCATAGGGAATAGTGTAAATACCGGTTGAATTGAACTACCTTACGAATTTCAATAAACCTAACAGGTAACTTTACGAATTTGCTTGGCTATTTTCAAAACTCGGCCTGTTTTTTGTCTTTTTCCCCAGTGGAAAACATGAAATATGTTTAAACGTCCTGTCAAAAAACCATGCCTGACTAGTGTTATGACGTTTTATATATTAAATTTATGATATTCTTCATTTCAAGGTGGAAATATTATTTTTAAAAAAACATTTCCTTTGTCAGACTGTCATTATTGATTAATTACAGATTTAGATTAAACATTTGCTTGAGTCGTTGGAAAAATTTGGTTGTTAAAAGTGTCTTTTTCTGACTGAAGTTAGAGCGAGGAAAATGGAAACGGCCTTCCACCCCTAAAGTGATATTAATTTAATAAAACCAATTTTGAATAATAAACGGCCTTTTCTTTCAGGCCAGGATGCGTTTTACGGCCCCCGGGGTTATTTCTGTTTCGTCGTGTAAACCGTGAAGATGGCGCGTTCCGTAACGTGGTTACGAAGGGATGTTTACGTTGAAACCACCAGTTTTACGAGTAGCTGAGTTGAGTTAAGCCAAGACGAAAACTTTTTTTTTTAAATTATTATTATGCCAAGTATGAGTGCGACTTTGTTCGTGTGTTTATAAGGTGGAATGCAAATAGAAAGAGGGCCGACGGTAGACGAGTCTAGGGAGCAAAAACATCCCCCATCCCTCCTGACCTTGGCTAGAAAGTGAAAACTCCAGACGGATCCCTTTTTTTTTACACACTACCCTTCTACCACCCCTATTAATTTATAAAACCGTTCTCCTTGCCTTGACTCGTCAACATAGTCGAGCCTTTACGAATATTTTCATCCTTTATTCAATCTGCCGAAATTTGAAACCGAAACTCAAGTCAATTTGGAGAATTTTCCATCAAAAACGGTTAGGGAGCAAATATTTCAAATCTAAACAGAATTTGAAAACAGCGAGGCTATCCGGATCCCTTAATACGTCCCGTAATAAAAATGATGAGATTTCCTTCAATTCTAGTTATACTCATTGAATTCCTTTTGAATCTTATTTTAACATTTTCTGACCTCACAAATGGCAAAATCTCTCCTAGGACTTCCAGAATCCTAACAATTTAGTTACCTCATAAAAGGCAAAAATTATCCAGAAATCTGGTTTTATCGATTTTACGCAAACCCCTCGCGTTGTATAATTAATAATTTCAATATTTGCACGCATAGATCAACGTCTGTAGGCGATCTCATTCAAATATCTATATTGGAAGATATCAAAATATCTCCTAGATAAAACGCGGAAGGAAAACAAGTTTATATCCAAACTGTGCAAGGAATAATTTCAAAACAATACATTAAAAAACATAATTTGAAATAATTATTATTTATTTGCTCATGTTTATTATACGGAGGGTTATCGAACATTGGGAGGGGGGGTCTGCTGTTGCATCTTTCCCGAGCTTTTTATTATTATTAAACTTCCTCAAGGTTCCATAGGAATAAATAATTGTTACTATAACTGTGCCTAATGGTAAATAAATCACATATATTTATTATATAAATACCTGGACATTACGTCTGGCCAGGGAAGATATTACTAATTAAAAGTAAGCAAATAATTGACTATTTAAATATATATGACGTAATTTAAACCATTTTGAAGCAAATTTATGCTCGATGTAACATTTTTTCATATTTTTACACATGAAAAAAATGAATAGAAATTACAAGACAAATGGAGGGCTTATCTCCCAATTAACTCAAGGAATATCGAGTACTCTATGGTAGCGAAAATGAACGTGTGGATGTAATTTATTAGCGTGAATTGGTGTTTGTTAATTGCGTTATTTATTCCCGAGGTAAAGAGAGGCTAGCTGTACGATAAAGAAAAGAGAGAGTTGGTTACTGTTACACCATAAAATATTGTAACTAGCTGGAGAACAGCAAGAGAAATTAATAGGTTTACAACGCGAGAAAGATAAGAAATAAAATGCAATGCTAAGAAAGAGCGATGAAAATGCAGTTTGCTAAAACTACAAAAACAAACAAAAACCAAGGCAAATCTTAAGCAAATGGCCGTTTGTATGTTGCCGATCTTCTTCCGTGTTATATGTTAAACCAAAAATCTGTGGATAATTTCTCCAATTCTACTCAATGAAAATGTCAATTGACAGTACATTTAATGTCGTTAGAAAAACTAATATCTCGTATGGTTAAATGTGGACAGTAAAATCTTCGATTCAAGATATTTTTTTGCAATTTGAAAAGGATTTAATTCAAAGCTGAAGAAGCTCGGTTTGAAGCAGTAGCGACTTCTTTTGAATTAAAAGGATTTTTCGCTGTTAACCCAGGATTCTTAGGCGTCCTTTCTTATCAAATAAGCTGTTACGTAACACAAATTAACGATAAATTAAGTTATAAAACAACTGTGAAATCTATTTCTAGTATTGAATAACTGCAATTCCTGAAGTGATAAGACATTTAGTCCGACTGTTCAAATAACGGTTGAGAGATCGGACTTTCAGACGGGAAAATCTAGAAAACGAGATAATTTATTTTCATTGTACAAAAGTCATATCACATGATAGAAAAAAGAAAAAAAAACAAGGGCTGAGTCTTTTTTTTCATATCACAGTGAGAATTTAAATTGACTGGAAGAATCTTATAAAAATGGCCGCCTTGCAACCTTGTTCTCCCATTTGATGTTTTTACTCTCTAGTTATTTCTTCTATTATTATATACATGTGTACTTTTTTATTTTTATTTTTGAATACAAACTACCGTGATAAAATGTTTTTTGTCCTACTGTGAAGGGTCTAGTCTGGAGGAAATGACGTGTTCAGTTGAAAATATTCGCCGTATAAATAGAAGTGAAGGCAAAAATACATCCTGGATAAGTTTTAAAAAAATCAAAGCCAATTATGATTCATCATTTTAAAAGAGGAGACCGCGATGGCCGAGTGGTTAGGTCGTCTGACTATTTGCCACATTTCCGATCTGGGTTCGAATCCCGGCACAGTCCAGGTTTTTTTAAATTGATAATAGTATGAAAGAAGTATTGTAAAGTTGTTTTGACCCTTCGTCGGCAACACTCAACGGGTAGGTCCTCCATCAGGAATTACTTTCCTTTTGGGACCGCAATGGCCGAGTGGTTAGGCCGTCTGACTATTTGCCACACTTGCGATCCTGGGTTCGAATCCCGGCACAGCCCATGTTTTTTTTAATTGATAATAGTATGAAAGAAATATTGTAAAGTGGTTTTGACCCCTCGTCGGCAACACCCAACGGGTAGGACGTTAAGTCCTCTTGTATGACAAGAATTGCTCTACTTCCTCGTCAAAAGTCCATTTTTAACGATGTTTTACGTGTTTCAACGTACCTTCTGTACTATCGTTTCAACTATCTGTCACAAACAAAGAAAAAATACCTTGTTTCTTGTTTACCTTCTTTACATAACAACACAGGAAAAAGATAATTCAATATTATATCATATATATTCAATAAGTATCGATTCCTTCGGCTGATTATTTATTAATTTGGCTTTGCAAGCAAAAGAGTCAAGCACGACGTACATTTTTTGCGTTTTAGAAAAACCAAACTCTTTCACCTGTCTCACAGCAGGTGAGCTTTATTAATTTTTCCCCTCAATGTAATCTTTTAAATTAAAAAAGGCCCATTCACGGTTTTTTAAGTATAATAACAAACAGTCTCTATAACCTGGTAACATTTTTATATTTTTTGTCTAAATAAATCATTTAGAACGTTGAGCTGAATTTATCTCTAATCGACTCCTGGATCCTTCTTGATATTAATGAACAAAAACAACCCCAAGACTTTTAAATACCCCTCTCCTCTAAAGGAGGATTATTATCGACGAATCTGCCAAGAAATAATTGATTCGTGGCTAAATTCTTTTCCGTGTCCCAGACGACGTCTGAGAAGAGTGCGACGAAATGTAGGAAGGGAGGATAATAAATAGCGAGCCCGAAGG